TTTTTTCTCTTTTTCATCAAACCGCAATTTTTGCAAGTTCCCGCAATTTCATCGCATAAAATTGCATAAATATCCCGCATATTTCATCGCATTTTTAAAGAAAACGGGCCGCGTAATCAAGGATTTTTGCCCGCAACAATCACAAAAAAACCTCTTTTTTTTCCTGGAAGGACTGTAGGAAATGCAGAACGCAAACGCATTGAAATTGAATTTTTCCCTCTCTCCTCATATTTTATTTTCCATCTCCATGATGTCCGTTAATGCTTTCTGTTGAATAGTAATAGTGACATAAAATGAAATTGATTTTCTGTGCAGAATCACTACGTTTTCGGATTATGTATCAGATCTCGGACACCCATACGTTTGGGTGCAGAAACTGGGCGGCCTGCAGTTCTCGTCCGATGGTGCACAGGTGTGTGTGTGTGTGTGTGTGTGGCTTTACATATTTTTTAATGATATTTTGCATTAAATTTTCTTTGGTGGTGTTGTTAAACCATTTTTATGTTGTGTTAGTAAACGAGTCTTGAGTCTGGGACCATATCGATGTTGTCTAAAACTATATTGTAGTGTAATAAAGTGTGTGTTTCAGTCGGGGCTGAGAGGAAGTGCTCTGAGCGCCAGTCACATGGAGAGGACCATAAAACTACTGCGAGGAAGACTACAGGCTCGCCTGTCCTTACACAAACAGTTCAGCTCGCTGGGTACGACAGCTCGATTTTCACTGTATTATTGGTCTTGTGTTGAGATGCGTTCACTGGTCGTTGTTTGTTTAGAAATATGAATAAAATCAATAGTCAATAAAAATTGAAAAAAATATATACTGCTCAAAAAAATAAAGGGAACACTTAAACAACACTTAAAAAGTAAAAACAAGAAGAAAGTATTTAATAAGATTATTTCATTCATTCAGACCTATGATGTGTTATTTTAGTGTTCCCTTTATTTTTTTGAGCAGTGTATATAAAGTCAGTAAATCTGATAATTGAACCATGTGTTTGATCCGTTTTAGTACGTTAAATTTTAATGCAATGTGTTTGTGGTGTCCCAGAGCACAGCATCATCCCGGTGTCCAGCGAATGCCAGCATCTGTTTCCCGCTAAAGTGATTTCCGGTCTCACGCGCTGGACCATGATGAGCCACCAGGAATTCACCGTATGTTTCTCCCTAACTGGAAACACAGGATGTTTAGCATCTCACAGTGACCGCATGAGCGAGCTTGGTGCAAATTTGGTGATGTTCAGTGTCTTTTGTCCAACAGGAGCTGGGCTTCGTACAGCACGTGGTGAAGGCCGGTCTGGTGCATGAGACGGATCTGTTCTTCATGGCAGTTGTGGAGAGAGGAACAGGTGGGACTTGTGTCAGACTTTTTACTATCTACATGTCCGGTTTACGTTCCAAAAATCACCTGACGGACATGTTAACTAGGCAAACGCAGGTTTTATGTGACGTTTGGGGTGGCAGGTAAATGTGAATTCAGTTATATCTAGGGCTGCGCGATTAATTGCAATTTACATGTAATCGCACTTAAAGGAGTAGTTCACTTTAAAAAAAACATTTGCTGATAATTTACTCACCCCCGTGTCATCCAAGATGTCCATGTCTTTCTTTCTTCAGTCGAAAAGAAATGAAGGTTCTTGATGAAAACATTCCAGGATTTTCTCCATATAATGGACTTCAATGGGGACCAAACGGTTCAAGGTCCAAATGAGAGTTTCAGTGCAGCTTCAAAGGGCTTTAAACGACACCAGACGATGAATAAGGGTCTTATCAAGCGAAACGATCGCTCATGTAATAAATAAATACAAATGTTTACGTTTTATAAGCTCAAATGCTCGTTTTGCTCTGTTCTGTGACGCACGTTCGTGACTCTCCTGTTCGAACTCGTTCATCAAAATGAACAAATCTTTCGTTCATTCAATGAACGAAATGACTCGAAAAAAGATTTGAAGAGTTCAGATGCAAAAGCCTCTAAGTGCCATTTGAAATTTTCTTCTAGAATGATAATTTTTATCAAGCTTGTATATTTAAGTTCAGTGATTTCACTTAAATGGCAATGATAATCACCTATTAATTGTTATTTAAGTGAAATTACTGAACTTAAATATACAAGTTTGATAAAAATCATCATTAAAGAAGAAAATTTCAAATGGCATTTAGAGGCTTTTGCATCTGAACTCTTCATTTGTTTATTTTGTTTAAAGCCGCACTGAAAATGACCTTGAACCGTTTGGACCCCATTGAAGTCCATTATATGGAGAAAATCCTGGAATGTTTTCATCAAAAACCTTAATTTCTTTTCCACTGAAGAAAGAAAGACACGGACATCTTGGATGACATGGGGGTGAGTAAATTATCAGCAAAACTTTTTTTAAAGTGAACTACTCATTTAAATCGAGATGGCTTATTGCGATTTTTGAAATCACAAAGGCTGCGATTATCTTTTACGCGCAGCTCGTCATTGATGCACGGCTTTGTATACCCTGCTCCATCTGAAAGCACTGTGAGTTGAGTCACTTATAACGTAGTTTCTGCGTTATTGTACTTTTGCGGCGGGGCTTATTTATCGTGTCTGTGTGATAGCGCCCTCTGGCGTTCAAATGGAGTAGCATTTACTACCGGTCAGCCGCAAAATATCGCAGCCTTTGCCAAATCGCGTTTGGTCTTATTGCAGCCCTAGTTATATATCTCATTTACTTGTTACTAAGCATCTCAAACCAAAGTCTTGAACATCTTTCAGAGCTGTGGTGTCTTTGTTAACTAAATCTATTGCAAATATTTTTTGTTCATTGAAATAAAGGTGAAATAAAATATGAATATTTAACGGAAAAATTTAAATAAAAAAGAGAAATGTTGCATTGCAGGTTTATTATCATTAACTAAAATCAAAATCATTACTTCATTACTTTAAAAAAATAAACATCAACTAATGAGAAATGTAGGGGAAAAAAATAATTAAAAATTTTACTTAAGTACTAAAATAACAAACTATAACCTAAAAATTCATTGAAATTAATTGAATATAATCTAATTCAAAATATTAACATAAAATATAACAGGTTATCAATGATACCAAACACAGTACTAAACTTACAATACTACGTACTTATTTTAAGTATTAAAATTACTCAAACTTAAATCAATTAAAGCTAAATAGAAACAAAAAAAAATGGCAAAAGCTCTAACAAAATTACTAAAATGTAACCTGTAAATATAAAAATAAAAGCTTATTCAAAATATTTCTAAATACTATAAAAGTGTACATTTTCAGAGATTTAATCATGTCATTGACACCGCTCTGCTTGTGTGGTTGTGGATCAGCACGTGTGTCGGCCGCCGTGGTGCTGAACCCCCGTTACCCTGAGGTGGCGCCCCTCTTCTCGCTCTCTCTGCTCTGGAAGGGAGAACGCAGCGGCCGCTCTGACGATAACCTGCGGGTAAGAGCGGATTGGACGGATCTGTTCAGAAGATGTTCACGGCTGAAACTGTTCTCTGATTGATTTTGTTGTCGTGTGCAGGCGATCGAGAGTGAGGTGAACGTGTTCCGGTCCGAGTTGCAGGGGCCGCGTCCGGGCCTCCAGCTCCTGACCAATCAGATCCAGCGTCTGTGTGTGTGTCTGGATGTGTATCTGGAGACGGAGAGTCAAGTGTGTGACGGCTCAGAGGGGCCGAAAGAGTTTCCTCGAGAGAAGATGTGCTTGCGCACTGCCAGGTAACACTCGAGGCCTACTGGAAATACGCTTCTCCTTTGTGTTTACAAAAGATTTTTTTGGAAAGTCAGTCGAAACCTGTTTTATTTCCACAATGTGACATTTTCGAGGGTCGAATAACTTTATATTGCAAAGCATTTTTTCTCATTCATATAACATACACTGATGAATTGTGCACATTCCAACAGCAACAGCGGTTTCCATCCTATTTCTATTTCTATCGCACCAAGATGTGCAACATATGAATCATTTGCACACGTTATTGAATCAATGATTGAATCATTTGACGTATTTATGCGATATTCCATCTTTGCGCACAAGTTAAATTCACATTTTGGAATGGAAACAGCTTATGTGTGTTTAGAAAGAATTTCTTGAATATTTCTTTAATATAGTGAAGAATTCCTAAAAACTTGAGCTCATGTGAAACCTGTGTTTCTCTCAGGGGTCCGAGTCGCCTGAAGCCCTTCAAGTACAATCATCCGCAGGGTTTCTTCAGTCACCGCTGAGTTCGGATCTCAGGACGAGCGAGACTGTTTTAGTGTTGTTAGGAGAGGCTGAAACCCTCTCTCAGTCTCTCTACCGTTCACCTGTTTTTTCATATGCGTTTCTCGTTTTGCTCATATAATGTGAATTAGAAAATAAAACGTTGATTTTGATAAGAACGTCTGTGTGTTTTCTTGGCTCTTTGATTAAATATTTGGGTGGAGTGTGGAAGCAAAATACAGACAAACCAACCAAAAGTGCTGAGAAGTATAACATATTACATTCAATGACATGTATACATCTCTTCCTGCATAAATAGTTTAGAAACATGACTGAAAAATGAAAAAAAACCTAAACAAAACACCTCTATTTTAAGTTCATTTCTGTAACAGGCATCTTAAACTCTTTGTATATACACTACAGTATATATATATAGTTATGTAGATAGAAATATCTATAGACACAAAAGCAAACTACAATACGACAGACTCCAAAACTAAAATATTCATAGATCTATATCATAGACAGTCTCTAATACATTATTAACGTGGAAAAAAAACTTTAGGGATGGTACTATGAAAAGTAGATGCATATACGTAAAACGATTAAAAAAACAAAATAAAAATTATATAGATAGGTAATATACACACACACACACACATATATATATATATATATATTATTTTTATTTTGTTTTTTGAAACTGTTTTAAATATGCATGACCTAAAGAAGTGATGTTTTTTCATTTCGCTTAAAAATAATTTATAGTGACTCTTATTATGAAGGCCGCAGCGGTTTCGCTGTCAC